ACGTACGTTGACTATGCTAACACAAGTGGTAACTTTGTAAACATTTATTCTTTGAAAAGACTCGCATGGGAGATGATTAATGATGTTGAAATGAATAAAAAAATTGGAACTATCGACAACAAGACCTTGTTTGATTCCCATTTTTTCTAAAATACATTTTTTTCTCTTTTTTTTAACAACACATTCTTCAATAAAATAATATTACATGCAATCCAAAAATATTTCTTTCATTTTTAACCACATATTCTCCGAGATTGCTTGTGGTTAAACCATATTTACCCAACTCAAATAATTAAAAATTAAAATAATTTCACTTTGTTGTAGATCATTGTCCTGCTGTCAATTCAATAAACAGATCTCTCAATCACAAACATTTAAAATCTTGCTCTTATTTGGGTCTAAAAGTCAAAAGATTTCTACTACAAAATAATAGAAAAGAAAACCCTCAAAATTTCCAACTTATTAGACTTATTTTTGGTGCGCTTTGAAAGTCATCAATGGATGACTACTCTGCTGGACACTCCAAGTCTTGTATATGTTAAAATAAATAAGTAATAAATTATGTGATAACAACATTTTTAAATGGGAATTCCACCTCATTCCCACGTCATAATCCCCTTACAGCTAAATTAATTTTGAAATAAACTATTTTGGTCCTCGTTTTTATCTAATTTTCTTGAACAGAAGTCCTTATTTTTACTACCCAATTTTCTCAAAAAAAAAAATTCTTTATTTCATTTTAATTTCAATATTAAGTCACTCTTAAAATTTCAAAAATGTTATGAGTTGATAGTGCAAGGCATAAAAATTAGTTGATATACTTGATTGATAATCTTTTAATACTTGTGTAGTGCTTACTTAATTATGATATCCACACAAGATTTCTTAATGCCCTAACTTTATTACCAAACCACAAAACTTTAATCTTCTGGAAAGCATGAAATTTTCAGAAAAAAATACATTAATCATGATGTAAGATAGTTATCGAGATAGATTAGACTCCGTAAATGAATTAAACACGGCTAATATCATTAAGAGAGAGAAAAAAAGATACGTATAGTCTTTGTTACTCGTTCTGCTTAGTGTTCATGTGTGGTCAAACAGTCGTGCTTAAAAGTCAATCAAACTTACTTTAAAGTTTAATGTACCTTTATTCAACAAAGAAGACACAAATGATCTAATACTAAGACTTTCTCAATTGGTTTGACGAAAAAAAGGTAAGGAATTTTACCTACTCCATTAAAGTAGTTTTTTTTTTTTTTTTTTTCATTCACATTTAACTTTTGTGTGGGACAAGCGGTGTTCTTGGGGTGGGTGAACAAGAGGACTATTAATTAGTGAAATTTTTATTTTATTATTCTTAATTTGTAGCTGGCATGGACAAGTGGATCAATTGTGCATAATTAGGTTACTGGAATAAAATTAAATTTAAAAAATGGTTGAAAACTTAAGACGAGAGAGTTCTCGATTCAAGTCTCAATAATTGTTGACAATAATATAATTTGTGACAATTATTGTGAATCCATGTTTGAATTCATTCGTGTGTACTTTGGTACCCAACTACTTTTTACTTTATACTTGAGTTTTGAGGCTTTCAAGTTATTCAACCCAACTAATTTGTTTTGGCATTTGAGTCTTCGAACTTTTATGTTCATAACAATTAGATCACCATTGACATCCTTATGTCTAAAAACCTGTTAGAGAATGAAATGTTTTGTCATTTGTGTGATATGCATAATTTCATTAAATTACAATTTTACCCTTATTTATACTTTTAAAACGAGAAACGATCATCTCCTCTCCTACTCGCCCCTATGCATACCTCCTAGTTTCAGCTCCCATCCCCCAATCAGTGTTGTTCTTAGACACCCGGTATCTCCCCAATTAGTAAAGTGGGGAGCATTTACACTTAGCCAACCTTTACGTATAAGTCGATTAGATATTTTTACTAGTAAACCAAGAATATCTCAATAATTTAGTTCTTAAGGACTATATTTTATGAAAGTTGCAGTCACATAACAACAATTAACTCTATTACAAACAGGAAAAACACAACTTTTTGTAAAATTATTTTATAATACATTATGGGAACTAATACTATCTACAAGTATGGTCAATTAATTCAAGTTGGTTTATTATATACATGCAATGATAACTTCAAGTTCTTTTTATAAGTTTCAATGATAACTTTTTATTTACAATACGTCCAAACGCCCAATCATAAGGTGTGTAATGGATGACCAAGAACTCAGAAAGTCTTGATTATCCATACATGAAATTTTCAATTATCACAATGTGCTTTTCATTCTCTTCCATCGTCTCTTTGGAAGCTAGTGCACAACCTAGCATCTCAATTATTGATAATGGGAACCTAAACTATTCTATAAATCGAAAAAATAATAATAATTTTCATCAGTTAAATACATGAAAAAAAAATGGGGGTAGGGAGCATGACCCCATTCTGTCTTAAGCAATGATAGGCTGGGTAAAAGAAAAATCTGAACAAGGCAGGAGACAAGATTGACTGCCTCGAGCCGCCCTATTGCCATCCATATTCAACGCTTCCTTGGACAATTGAGCCATTAGGGGAGAGAGGGTAAATAGCATCCAACGCAAAGTGGCCTTTCACCCCCTCCACCCCTCGACTTAGGGACCAGAAAAAACGCCATTCATTTTCCTCGATTGGCTTTTGCCACTTTCCTTAACAAACCTTCGAGTCTTTTTTTTTTTGGCACCTTCTTTATACAACCCCTAAGTTACCCCAAGGGCCGAATTCAAAATATATCCAAGTTCTGCGAAAATTTGTAATCTAATAATCAGTTGTTGAAACGATCATATGTTTTTCTTTGTGTGAAAATACTCACAATAATCTCATAAGATGTGACCTTTGTTACGTATTTTGGGGTTTCTAATTGTCAATGACTACAATATATATAATAAATTTAATTTTTCTAAAAAATTTAAACAACTACTGTGAAAAGTTGAAACGCCATGATCCTATAAATTAATTTGTCTTTTCCTCCAATATTTGACCAAAACTTCCTCAACCGCACATGGTCAAATATTTAACTCGTTAGGATTTGATTTAAAAAAAAAATTCTTTATATATAAAAGTCACCAAAAAAATAAATTCTACCCACAAGACCTACTACTGAATTTGAATTACACCCCTCCCTAAACCATCATTTCCTTTTTCCAAAAAAAAAAAAAAAA